TGTCAGCTTTCTAAAGAGAAAAAAAAAAAAAAGCGTCTGATGATTATATGAGACAAACAAGAATTAAAAAGCTATTATTTTGACCTCAGATATTGTTTTTGTGACCAAACCTCATAAATATGTGATAACAAAAACATTATCCAAGCCAAATGTCTTCCCTCTGGTCTGCTGTAGGATTTAGGGCCCTTGGACTCAAACCGGTGCAGTACTCACCTCTGTGCAGCGCACCAAGCTGCCGTCAGCAAGGACCAGCTCGTACGCGACACATATGTGTTGAAAAAGCCCATAAACATGGGAGGAAGACTCGATGCCTGTGCCCATCACCAGCCCACCTGAGAAAGAAAGAGAGAAAGAAAGAAAAAAAAAAACGAAATGCTCTACGGTAATTGAATTTCTGCCCGGGTGAGAGCAACAGGGGGGCCAAACAGACGAGCAGATAACAGCATTCGCCTGCTGCGAGCGCGTCGGTCTGTGGACAGCGGGATAAATGAATGTAGCACGGCCTGATGGGAAAACATTAGATCGCTGATGCGTAGATTATGGCATCAGGAAATCCATTATGAAACTCTATCCAGGGGTGCTTCCATGCTGCTGCTGCTGCGGCCATTTCCTCCCGGTGTCGTCTTCCGAGCTGCAAAGCCAGAACCCCCCCTCCCTCCCCATCCCCTCTTCTAACGCAATTAGAGGAGCAGCCGTGGCTCTGAACAGGATGCACTGATTGATGGAGGGTTTGCAGATCTCCATCTCGCGCACAAGCTGTGGAAATCACAGCGCGATGACGGATGGGCTTTCTATTTTTAGGAAAGCGGAAAGAGAGAAATGAAGCAACACTGAGACGGATTAACCTAAAAATAATCTGACGCACGCTCGCCTCACCCACTGTGAGATCGTCCAGCTCCGGCAGCACCGGCAGCGTCCAGCCGATGGAGTTCAGGAGAGCCGTCACTTGACCCATGTTGGCCAGAGGCTCCACTCGCACCACCTGTACATGAGACACTCATGAGTAAAAAAATAAATAAATAACCCTTTAACTTATCTTATTGCTTTTTAGAAAATACTAACTTTGTGAAGTTATTGTTTGTCAAAAAAAAAACATCCTTCATTTTTTAAGACATATTCTTTAGTCTGATGACTTTCTAAGATTTCATTTAGAAAAAGAAAAACAGAATGTCACACAGCTAAGAACTACAACCAGAAGAAGTAGGAGGGTCTCGTGTGTAGTTAGTCATAACTGAGGGTTTTAATGAGTCAAAATGTTGATTACAGAGAGGTTCAGGAGTTAAACTAATCTGAGTGTATGGAGGGAAAAATAATAATCTCCTGCGATGTCCAGTGTCTTGTCTCCTGGTTTCTCCTACCTGCCTCTTTGTGTCCACCTCCAGGATGTCCATCATGTTGATCATAATGTTCTTGTGGGTCTTCTTGTATTTTCCCACTCTGAGGGACACGGTGAGCCAGCCGGGTCGACCTGTACACATGTAGGTCCCACCGCCGTTCTTCCTCCACTCACGTACCTGTGTGTGACACAGCAGGTTACTTTTGTAGTACTGTGTGCTATATTGGGAATTCTACTTATATACTGTAACTTAGGCTTTAAATTTAAAGGACATAAATGTTCCAAGTCAAGGAAGGCTGAGGAATGTGCAGGAATTGTGGCTGCTTCGTGCCCCCTGCTGGTATGGAGGCTTTAGAGCAATTTAATTTGCACTGGTGTATTTAGGACACAAAGAAAACCCTTCATAAAATGTTGGCTTAACCATATCAGCGCTAATTCAATAATAATATTTAATTCACAATGTAACACTTGATCAGCAATTTAAAGGTTAATATTTTACCAATTGTTTGCTTGTAAACCAAACACAACATTTTTAAACTCCCAATGAATCTTCTTTAACTGGGTTTTAGTTGCACTGGCAAGTCAAATATTATAGTTGGAAATAAAACAACGGTTCCCTCTAAAATACGGATTCTCATCGGGAAAGAAGGAAATCACCAATCAGACTCAAGCTTAGAATCCAATATGGCTGCAAAGCACATAAAATATAGTGAAAGCTGCATAAATGTATAAATTAATTATTAACAGTATATATTATACCTCATATTATTATTCACAATTTGGTATCTCATTAAATCAGTAACACATATAGTGTGCTACCATCCCTATATGTGAGCGTGTTAATTTAGTGTTTGACTGCACAAAATAACAAGAAATTATTTTTTAAATTGCTATAATTTTTGTCTTGGCATGTATTGCTGACGGAGGTAGCACCAAAATACACAGCAACTTTGACCAGTTTTCCAACTTACAACTAGAAAGCAAAATAAATCCAAGCTTGGCCAAATCAAACGCAGAATAATTCAGATAAGCTCAGCCAGAAGTGGCCCCCCTACTTAAATTCTACTCAGGTCCCCATTGAGTCTTGGGTCGCCCTTGGTTCAAACCCCCCATCAGGAGAATATAAGGCCAGGAATGTTGGTGATGATGAGATGATGACGTAGCCCCCACTCACCTGTCGCTGGATGTCCCGCACGCGCTGGTCGTGCAGTTTGGGTGCCGAACACATTTTAAAAATGAGCCACGCTCTCACATAATAATACACATCGAATATAACCGAGAGGGGCAGTAAGAACAAGCACACGAATATCCAGCGCTGGTGGACGATCACGTAATCCAGACCTTTGACTCTGATCCAGAGCAGGAAGAAAACCAGCAGAGCTCCTAAATACAACAGCGGACTCATCGCGTCAGCTCGGGTCAGAAGCTGGTCTGATGGACGCTGCAGCCAAAATCAGAGCTTAAACTTTTTTTAAAAAAAAATTTCAGCTGGGGTAACAGATTCCTGACTCCTGATCAGGTAGGTGGACTTCAAACTCCGCCTCTACTAAAGGCTAATTGGTCGATATTCCGAAAAAGGCGGGGCTTGTTCTCCCAGTTTGTATCCTATTGGTTAACCGTGCGGCAGTAGGGCGTGGCACAGACAGAGCGTGTCTGCTGATTGGCCAATCATAAAGCAGACAGACTCTCACACCACGCAGTCTGCCCACATGGAAGCGGGTGAATTTACAGGCAAAGTACAACAGAGAGTCATGGCTGTTTTCGAAAAGGTTTGACAGTCTGCATCACTAACTGAAGCAATGCTTTAATGCTTCTAACCAGGGGCGCTGCTAGGAATCTTGGGCCACCTGACAAAAAATTTAATTCGGCCCCCCCTCACGCAGCTGCTGTTACAATTTCTTGAGTCTATCTGACCCATCAAAAGCGTCACAATTTCAAAGGCTTGTAACTGCCTTGCTTTCTTTGGTCCAATACTTTTACAATATTTACTGCTCATGAATTTTACATGCAAGAGTAAAATTCAGTATGGATATAGTCTGAATAAAGCATGCAAGTAGGTTGCTTACATTTTTTCTGTTAGTTTTAGATTACTGAAATGTCTCTCCCCATGAGCAAGTCATAGGCAACATGCAAAATATACATAAAACAATCAAGACTTCTCAAAGAATGCTATGTAGTTGCATTTTATTCAACCTGCAGTACATAACTTTAATAAAAAATATGTTTTCTCCATATTTGTTAAAGCTGTCACTATGTCGTAGCAGTTTGTTATGAGACAGATAATCTGTGAAAACAATCTATCTTCTCCACCTCCTTCCAGAACTACTATTGCTGGATAAAGTAATGCAACGTTCTGACCAAAACAACCAATCAGAACCAGGAGGAGGGTCTTAGCGCAGTCAATCAACTGTAACAACTTATTGTTACAGGAAAAACATTTATCTGCCATCATTGGTAGACTAAGCATTTACAACAGGCTATGCTAGCTGCAGCATAACACAGAGCAAGGGGAAGGAAGGATGAGCCACATGAGATTGTGACTGACAACGCTAAACCTCTCCTGCCACTGACTGGTTGTTTCTAGATAGCACTGGGAGAAAGCAGAGTAAATAGATTTTTCACAGATTATCTCTCATATCATACTGTCACAACATAATGACAGTTTTAACAAATATGTGGAAAAAATATATATTTATAAAAGTTACATACTTCAGCTTTAATTTTACTTAGGAGAGAATGGATCAGGAGGGACGTGAGCTAGAGCTGCTGCTGACTGACTCATCTGTTAAGTGGTAAAAGGTACAAGGGACAAGTTAAATATATGAATATGTTGGTAATGTTTTTCCTTAATTCATTAAATGCTAGTGAAATGGAAGCAAACAGTAGTCTGTAGCTAATGCTAAATGGTTGATAATCTCACACAGTCTACCCACCTCTCTTGGAGAAAAACTGGGTTATAAATTAACGCTCTTACCTTTTTCTCTCCCTCTCTATTTTTTTTTTGAAAACCTGACTTTCTAACTTTTCTTAGCAGCATAGTAACTGCCACAGTCGTTCTTGTTTCCTACTGTCTGTTGCTGAACAGCATCACTCTCAAGCGCTTCAAGCAGGAATGAACCATTTCATGCAGGGCGGGGGGTTCAGGTCAAATATGGATGTGTGTTTTTTGGTCTGGGAGTGGGAACATTACATTTTTATTGCTATAAACAATCTTCAAAAATACAATATGATTAATTTTGTAATTGACAGGGCCCCAATTTTTTTATTTTTTTATTTCTATGAACAATATATAAATAAATAAAATGTGGAGGGCACTCTGCTGGTCAGGGCCCCTAGAATTGTCATCACTTCTCCCCCCTATACCGTGCCCCTGGCTTCAACTATATCCTTTTTCCACCATTTTTCCTCATTTTTAGAGAATTGCTAACTGTACGGTTGTATACAATTTGGGATTCGATGGAGAAAAAGATTAAACTTTTAAATTGTAATTTTATTCACTCGGAGTTTATGTGACTATAACGTGTACAGCTGTGCAAAGCCACGTCCAGAAGACCTGCCATAGAAAGGTGGTTCAACACAGCACTGCCTCATGTTGGTTGGTTTATCAAATATAATCTCATCAAAACAAAGCTGAAGTCGGTGGTCGCAGCATGACAAATGTAAAACTGTTCAAGGAGTGTTAAATGCTTTCGCAAGGCAGTGTGGGACTTATTTTCTCTTTATTTAAGACTGGATGCACTTTGTAAATTTCTCAAACTAAATCAGGGTTCAAAGTCATGGCGCTTCATGACACATATTGCTGAAGAATACATCCAATTGTCCTCTATATTACGTCCATTTGTGCTCAGAAAAATAGCTTCGACCCGCACTCTTTCACTCTCTGTCCCTCTTCCTGTCTCTCATCCCCTCTTGCAGACATACACGCAGGCTAAAGTGGTACCCTTCGGACACATTAGAGGGAGGGTGGGGCGCCAGTAAAGATTTCTTAATGGGCTCTGCCATCCTCTTGTCCATCTGGCTTGATGATAAACACACAGCTGCTCAACATTAGCCTCATGCGCATCAAAGCGTTCAACATTTTCATTCTTCTTTCATTTTTTTTCACCCCCCCAAGTTTTGCAACAGACCAAAAATTTGGAACAGAAGAGGGAGAATAAACACATGGACTAAAAATGACTGGCATTGTTTCAGCACTAATGGAAATGGAAGTGATGGAGACCAAACAGTGAGATTTGGAAGGACTCGTCTCGTCGGGGTTTCTTGTAAATCGCTCGGATCTCTGGTCTTTGTCAGAGTGCATAGAGGGATCACGCTCTGTGCTACTGTTTACATGTGAATGACACCATCCAGCCAGCCCCAGCCAAGCAGAGAGCTCAGAGACAGGTTGCAGTCCTGCGGGGAGATGCCTTCCCTGCACCACGGAGCAATCTTTGTCGGAGCCTTCCTCATTGTGACCGGGGGCTCCACAGCCTTCCTGGCCTCCTACCAGAGCCGCCTGCAGGCTTTCTCGCTGTGCTGCGTAGTGCTGGGGGTGGTCATGCTCATCCTGGGACTCTTCTGGGCCATGAACAGCAAAACCGTAGCGAACTACAGCCACCGGGATTTCGACCCGGACTGTCCCCATTACCCTTACAACGACTACTCCAACTACTCCAGCCATGCTCTCTTCTCTCCTCAGCTGACTCGGTTCCCAGAGTCCCAGTCCGTGTTTCTGCCCAGGTGGGTGAAAGAAGAAGAAGGGGGGAAAAAATGCTGTCATTGTAAATACTGGTTGTTGTTGTTGTTTGGCTTTTATTTTATTATCTAACTTACTTACTATGCCTTTTGGTTGAATCCAAAGAGTAAAAAAGCATCATTGTTTAAACGTCTTGGCATATTTGTTGCTGCCCTTTTAATAAGGGTTCAGATTTCAGTTTGCCAAGGAAATGAAATTTGCTGTCTGACTGTTCACTCACTAATACCACTTCTTTCACTCCACAAAACACAAACATCATCCTGAGAAATGTTGGATCATTTCAAGCATCCTATCTGCGTGTGTGTGTGTGTGTGTTCCTGTTGAGCCTGTGGCTGTATTGTCTCTGAATATTGTTGTTTCTAGTATCTCAAAACATTATTTGATGCTTTTGAAAGAATGAATGACTAATTAAAACATTCTTACCTATACTACTTAAACTCGTCCAAGGGTCTACGAACATGTATCGGTGATCTATGACTTCCTGTTTCCCTGGGCTATGAATAGGACCAGATGCAGAGGCGCATTTCTCTTAGTCACTCTCTAAAATGGGAAACATAAGTGAACATGCTGTTTAAGCAGAGCAGATGCACGTTGATCTTCATAAGTCAGGGAGTGGTTATGTCACATTAGTTGGAGCTAAAACTGAGACTGCAACTCGATTGGTTTGATTTGGTCGGGTAAATCTTCAGATTTTCGATGGGAACCAAAGGATGAATATGTGGAAAAGTACCTCGTTCCTTCTGTCGAAAGTACACTGATGGATCAGTGATCCAAAGACCCTGGAAACATGGCTGGAGTGGATAGCATCACACACTCTTTGAGACACAAGAAATGTTCATTTTATAAATCTAGTGGTTTTTGCCAGAAAACTAAAACTGGACCATAATAGGGGCATTTCACCAAATAGAAAAATCAGTTGTTTTTAATGCTTAAGTCTTAGAGGACATATAAATATAAAGTTATAGGAGAAGACTCGTACAAGTCCTGTCTTAATGGCAATGTCAACAAGTTTGAGATGTATATCAAAAAAGCACCTTTACTATTTATGTTTGCTTTCACATGATTGTTCTCAAACCAGGTCCTACTTTTTCTGGCTGTAGGACGATGGAGAGCCAGAGGATGGCTACTCGTGGCGAAGATTTCGACTATCCGCCCATGGATTGTGGCGGGTTAAGCCCAGCACCTCGCCCTCCACCGTGGCAGGAACCCCCGCCTCCATATGAGGTCGCCATCAAAACCACCTGTAGCTCTACACACCTGCGGCGTGCATATTCAGACACACACCTGGCAACAGAGCCCTTGTTTGGACAGTCGAGAGAGATGAGCTTCGAGGTGTGACACGTCCTCTTCTAAATGGGCACAAATTTGATGCTAGCTCCTACCGGTCGTGATTCATTTGAAGCCCACTTCTCTCTGGTTTACTCCATTTACTGCATGTTTTTCCTACGTTAAATACGTCAAACATGATTAAAGCTAGTTCGAGGTAATCTGGGCAAAATAAAGCGTTGTAAGCCAACATTTCAACAATTTGCTAACAAATACTGAGCTAGCTTAAATATCATTCTTACATTCCAAACTGAGTTCAATATTGTTTTTCTAGGGATCATTCTAGGATGATTTGTAACATAAAACATGTATTAGAGATAATATTATTACAAATGAAGTATGAACTGAGAAGCAGCTACAGCATGTTAGCCTAGCTTAGCAAAACACAGCGACGAGGTGTGTTTTAATGATGGCTGGGTAACAAAAGGTAACCCATATGGTGACATACCTGCTGAATTTCTTTTTTTTATATTTAATCTTTTTTCGGTGAATATCAATTCTGAACCCAGAAGCTTTAATGAGCCAGGACAGTTCACTTCTATTTGCATGAGGCTAAATCGTTTAAAGGGAGCAAAGCCTCAATCATACCACTGAGACTTTAATGCAGCTCAAATGATTAAAGTAAGAAATTACAGACCTTAACTTTTCTGACTGGAGCTATGATACTGTTTACAGCGTGTAGGGAAGAACGGAGATTGATTCACTTTTGGAGCTAGATTTAAGGGGACATTTTGAGGAAATACTTTTTATTTTATCCCTCTCCCAATCTAAAAGAGGATCTCAAAAGACTACGCAAAAAATTGTAACATTTTGTAGTGTATAATGTAATGTCTGGTGTTTTCCCACATATAATGTGATACATAGCCATCACAATTAAACTGAAAAAGTTACAGATTTCCTCGAAGTGGTTGGAAAGACGATAAAAGATGCAATATTCTGGTTGCATAAGTGTAACCAAGCCTTTTATAGTAATTATTTGAAGCTTTTTTTTTTTGACTCAGCTTCAGCATTTAGTCTTTTGCATGTGTCTGTCAGCATCCAACATTTTGACTTGCCAAAATTCGCCCACTCTACTTTCTGATCCTGCTAACATTTTCAGAGTCTCTCAGATTGTCAAGTTTACTTCTAGGTTTTGGCTTACCCATTCCAAATCTTTAATGTTCACCTCATAAAACATTCGTATGTGGATTTGGATATATATTTTGCATAAGAGGGGTGTGTGCTTTCTTGACCCGCTGTACAGCCAAGCTGAGACTGACCATGTTTATCACTTATGCTTTAAATCAGCAGCTATAGAGCTTGAGGACTTCCAGAAGCACATAGATCAAATGTTGGACAATGAATGTAAAGAAAACCAAAGATATCAAATAATGCCAATCAAAGAAACTTGACTTTTTTTATTACCTCTCTTCAAATCAAATTGAAAAATTCTCGTGATACAAAAAACTTAGCATCTGGTTTAGTAGGAGAAAGTTTGACAGATATGACATGAGGTTTTTATTGTTGTTGTCATTTGCAGTTTTTCAACAGCAAATCAAAAAGGTCGTTAACCTTGTTGGTCACAGTTTGACTGAAAAGAGTTAGCAGTGATGGAGACCTTGTCATAAAATACCAACATTCACAGGAATTCAGGAAAAAGAAGTTTGACGGACAGTTGTTTTCTAGGTAAATACCATCCTTGAAGTTGCAGCAAACCTTTACATGCCGAGCTTTGACAATCACTTTGGGATTGATGGGAAAACATCAGCAGCTGAAATGGTGTTAACCTTCATCAATTGCCTTAAAGCAGCAGAAGCAAGCAGAAGGTACAAAAACCTGCGTTAACTCAACAAACACTTGTGCACGCTTACCTTCTGGGATTTACCAGCTGACTTTTTTTTATTATTATTATTTTCTAACCTGCAAAGTTGCACATTTCTCTCTTTTTTATGAAAAAAAAAAGAAAAATCTCGAACAAATGCTTGCCTTGTTTTTTCCGTTTGTCTGCTGAGCTTATTGTCCTCCTCATTGTGCTGGAAGCTTGGGAACACTGACTCATCTGACCATATGTGCTTCCATGTGCTCAATAGACCACTGCCCTTCTTTGGCTTAGCCTCCTCTGCTTTTAAATATTACAACATGGCTGACTGCAGTCCTTTTGCTTTTGATTTTGTTGTTTAATTTTTTTTTCCATTTTAAAGAACGACACCAGAGTGGTTGAGTTTTAATCAGTTTTCGACGTACGATCTTCTTTCAAAGACTTTTATCGCAAACGTTGCGGCGTGAAAATTAACTTGTACGTGTCGTGTTTATTTTTTGCTTGTTTATGTAAATATGTGCTTCATTTCTGCACAAAAGCTAAAAACATCAACTGGAAACCATTATCTTAGGTCATAAGACAAACGATTCAGACGGAGTTACAATTGTGAAAAAAAAAAAAAAATGGTTTGTCCAAGCAGGCAAAAAAAAAAAACTCTTGTAGGTGTTCTGGACGACTGAGTGCATAATACTGCCACCACCCTACGTTGCACTATTCATTGTAAAGGAAGAAGCTGCACTGCCCTCCTCTGATCTCTGAATGAACAAGCACAATAAATGCAGCGTGTTGGATTCACAGCAGAAGAGACAAAATTACTGTGTGTGCATGTTTAATGTGTCTGATTATTATTATTATTAGTGAGAAAATGCAAGTGAACATCTATGTCAGATCATGTGAGAGTGTATTAATTTTTCTTAAATAAAACATGTGGATGGAAGAGGCAGGCCCGATATGTTTTTTTTTTTTTTGTTTTTTTTTAGATTTAATAGACAGTCAGTTTTCATGGCTTTTATTTTGAAATGCATGCCCTCATGGCGGGACAGATGAACCCCAACGAGAAACACAAAATGATAATTTGCAGTTGTTATGTGTCACTAGCAGAAGGTTTGTGTTTTCATGCATGTGGCAATTTTGTGATTATTTTCTATTTTGTTCCATTTTGTTTCATATTGATGAATGAAAAGCCCAATTTTGCACTCATACACTGCAGGGCAAACTAGTTCTGTAGTGTAAACATCTACGTAGTCCTGAAATAATGTTGACGATTTTGAGTGACTTCCTTTTAGCAACCGATTCTGGAAGTTTGGGGGATTTTAGTACTTTTAGATGGAAGCATTTAGCTCTGTTTCCACAGTAGTTTTTATAATCTGTAGGGAGCATAAAGGTGCAGCGTTAGATTGGATTTGTTTATACCAACAGGACATAAGCTTCTGTGAAAGAGAACCTCCTTCTTGTGGCGTTCCTCAAGGTTCACTTCTCGGTCCATTCCTGTTCTTCATTGTATCCTTTCTCTTTAGAGTCGGTGTTGTGAAGTCATATCATCTCTTTTCACTGCTATGCAGATGACTATCAGATTTAACTCCCTGGCCAAACAGTCTGCGCTCCATTCATCTCTTCTGCATCACATCAAAAAATGATTGGTCATGGATTTTCTGAGCTTTAATGACAACAAAACGCAGATGATTTTCTTCACACCTAACAACACTTCTTCACACACTGCTGTTCCAAACGGTGGTGATCTGGAGCTGTGTGCTGAGCAACGTGTTACAAGGCCAGGTGTGACCTTGGACTCAGGACTCAGGTTTCAGGTTGTGTGAACAGGTCAGTCCATGTTTTGTGGAAAAGTTTCTTTCAGGTGCGCCGGGTTGTCTTACTTAAACCATTGTTTGCAAAAAGTGACCTAGAAACAACAACCCATTTTTTAAAATCAAAACTCAGCTAAATTATATCAATGTGCGTCAGGCCTCTCTTTCACTCCTTCAGCTTGTTCAGATCGCTGCTATCTCACCGGCTCTGTCTTCTCTCCACTGGCTTATGGGTGCCAAAGAATTGATTTTAAAATCTGTCTTGTCTTTTAAACGCCTCACTGATCCTCCTCTTCCATCTGACCTGCGTCGGCGTCGTGTTTCACCACTGACCCTTTGGGCGAACTGTTCAGCTTCGGGTTTGTTGTACCAAAACCAAACCTGAACCTCAGAAGAGATCAGATCTATTCATTATTGTGGCTCCAATATTATGAAACAAGCAACCTGTCTCGCTATTTTTAAGTGTTTTTTTTTTTTGTTTTGTTTTTTTTAAAAAGATGTTTTCAGTGGATTTTGAAGTTGTGTGAGTTGGTTTTTATTTTAGTCATTTCAGTCTTTGCATTTTGTGTTATTTCTGTTTAGTTTGTCATTCTAGTTTAGTTTTGTTTATGTCTTTGTCCGTTCTGTTTTAGTACAGTACAGCACTTTGGTTAAAAAAAATTGATTCTTTAAATGTGCCTTGTGAAAAACAAAATGGCATCAGCACATTGTTTGAGAATCACATGACCATTTTTCTGTGACTCATTCTCCATTTGAAAGACTCAGTGATTACCCAATCTGGTTATGTCAAACAGATGTTTTTTTAATTAACCGCAAATAGACACGAGGTCTATTGAATCTGATTTAAGAGGTTTGTCAAAGTTATACAAGTAATACATAAAGGCACTGTCCTGGGTACAAAAAAACCTTAGCAGCAAAAACAAAAACAAAAACAAAAACAAAACAATTGTTCAGCCTGAAACAGTGCAATACTGAGGGATTAAACTGATTTAGAGGACCAAAAAAACAAACAAACAAACAAAAAAACAAAAAAAAACAAAAACAAAAAAAAAAACTAATTTTCTGAGCTCAAAACCAAATAATTTCTCCTGGTCAAAAATCTACCATGAGGAAATGGACAGAGAATCTCAGCACGAGAAAAGTTTACAACTACGACCAAGATATCTGTTTCATCAGAGAAAGCCTGGTGGTGCCCGGGGTGGGCGGACCCTATTGGTGCCACCGCCTCTGCCCAGGCAACAAGTTTAGGGATGAGAACCTAAAGAAAGAGATACAGAGTTTGACTTGCGGCCTGCTTCAGGTCGGGCTGGCCGCTCAGCTCCATCTCCAGCTGGAACTACTCATCTTTAACTGCAGCTATAACTCTCCGTGCAGCAAACAGCCTGCCCAAACAGCGGCCAAGTGACAATGTTCAGACCGTGTGTGTGTGTGTGTGTGCGTGTGTGTGTACGGACAGCCTGCCCTCAGTTTCTCGTCGGTGAAAAAAAAAGCCTTCCTCATTAAAAATAAAAGCACTTCCTCCATCGCAGCTGCCGCTTCTTCTTCTTCTCCTTCTGCTGCTGCTGCTTTGACCAGATGAAACCCACTCCGCACCCAATCAGAGCGACATCATCAACTCTGATCGAAGAGGGGGTTTTTCGACACTGCTAGCTCTGGAGAAACACCAAGCGGGAGATATGAGCGTTCAGCGGGGGAAGAGGCGGTAGAGCCGCCGGGGTAAAGAGAGAGACAGGGAGAGAGAGGCGCGGCGGGGTTCTCTGGAAATTCGGACTGGCCTGGATAAATCGGCTCTCCACGAATTTTTCTGTTTTCCTTCCTATTCTTCTTCAGGGATTTTGGAGTCAGAGTTGATAACTTGTGAAGGAGTAATGGTCCAGCTTCCTCAGCGCGGTTTCCCTGCAGGTATCGATGCTTCTGGCACTTATTATTTACGTGTTGCTCACATTCCAGCTGCTTTCTGTTTGCTGGTTCTGGTTGTTACCTCCCCTGTTATGCCTCTCCCTAGCCCCCACTCCCCACTACACACGCACACACACGCA